TAGTGTGACACAAGATTATAGTGTACCACCACATAAGTTGGCCACCAGGTAAGTGTGCCACCATCTTATAGTGTCACTAGATGAGTGTGCCACCGGATTATGTTTGCCACCAGATTATAGTCTTCCACCAGATTATAGAGTGACACCAGAATATAGTGTGCCAGAAGAATGGTTTGCCCCAAGAACAGGATTTCCACAGATAGTAAGTTCAAACCATAGCAGGTGGCATCAGACCAGTTTGCCACCACAACAGGTTGCCACCAGAGCACGGTGCCACCATAGCAGGTTGCATCACAACCAGTTTGCCACAACAGGTTGCCACCAGAGCACGATGTCATCCTAGCAGGTGGCATGAGAACAGTTTGCCATTAGAGCAGGTTGCCACCAGAGCACGGTGTCACCATAGCAGGGTTAAAAAGAGCAAGCAGTCTCAGAGGAGGGCCATGGGGGCAAGTCTGGAGAAGGGTGGCTACATGAGTTTACAGAATTGAATGACACCAACCCCAGTGACGCAGGTGGATACACAGTAATATTAATATTTAACAAGTGTGTGGCCGAGCATGAAGATCTTCTTGGTATTCAGTTTTTATTTGGTTTACTGTAATTTTGTTGAGAGTCATATTCAGCAGCGTCACAGGGGGATTGGGGGGGGGGGGGGTTGCAGACTGCATAGGGTGACAGTTTCACGGGGGAAGGGGGAAATTACACAAAATGGAAAATAGCAAATTTAAATGGGTTCACTAGAGTGCCATGCCACCAGAGCAGGGTGTCACCAGAGCAGTGTGTCACAAGAGCAGGGTGTCACCAGAGCAGTCAGGCTCGAAAGAGGCCCATGGGGACATCTGGTGGGGTTAAAACCACGAGTTGACCGCAGCGGGTGGCACCCAGCCTATTGACGCCACTGCTTGGATTAATACATTTAAGGTGCATTTTTTCCACCAATGTTACTGTAATCTGATGTCTAGGTGAATTCAGGTGTCTATATACTATTGGCAGGTGGTCCAGGTACTGTACTGAGGTGTCTAGGTACTGTATTCAAGTGTTTAGATTCTGTTATCAGGTGTCCATGTACTGTCATTAGCTGTCCAGATACTGTAATCAGGCCCCTAAGTACAGTAATCAGGCCCCTAAGTACTGTCATCAGGTGACTAGGTACTGTAATCCGATGTCTAGGTGAGGAAACGAATTTATTGCATGTAAATGTACTTATTACTTAAACTGCAATCAAAAGGTGTTAACAAGACTGAACTGAACTCTTGTCACATGTTATATTTTGTGACGCCCCTGTAAGGAAGCCGGGACAACTCAAGGCCATGCCCTTGACAGGCCATGCCCTTGACAGGCCATGCCCTTGACGAGGGCATGTGGCATCCGGGGCGCTATTCTGATAATGGCGTCCTTCAATATATATTATTATATAATAAAGCAAACTAAATATATCTATTTACCTATCCACACACACCCATACATAAGAAGTTGATTTTAAAAAAATGGAAAACAATCTAATTCTTTGGTTGATTTTTTCTTTCTTTTAATGAGTAAAAATAGATAAAAGAAATAATGAGGCAATTTTCGTTGTGCTGGTTCAGCCACATTAAAGGGAAACAACCGTGGAGATAAGAGAGCAATGGAATGTATCAAAGTTGTTTTCATGTTAGTCAACCACATTAGTCAACCACATTAGTCAACCACATTAGTCAACCACATTAGTCAACCACATTAGTCAACCACATTAGTCAACCACATTAGTCAACCACATTAGTCAACCGACAAAAACAACAAAACTATCCATATGCGAGTCAAAGTAATGCCCCTTTGTGTGGGTCTAAATTCAATCACAGCAGGTGGTTCCCAAATGTTTAGGAAGGAAAAGATCATAACAAAAATTAAACAGATCCACCTTAAAAAAGGTATTATAAAAAATATTTAAAAATTTCATGACTTTATTGCACACCAATTTTAAAAAGCAATAAAGAAAAAAAAAGTTCAAAGTGTGGAGTCAAAATTTAAAAAAAGACACAGGGGCCACTAAATAAATATATTGTAAAAAAAATTATTATTATTCACAAGGCTTCTTGAAATCTTGGGAATAATTAGGGTGGGAGAGAAATCTTGGGAATAATTAGGGTGGGAGAGAAATCTTGGGAATAATTAGGGTGGGAGAGAAATCTTGGGAATAATTAGGGTGGGAGAGAAATCTTGGGAATAATTAGGATGGGAGAGAAATCTTGGGAATAATTAGGGTAGGAGAGAAATCTTGGGAATAATTAGGGTGGGAGAGAAATCTTGGGAATAATTAGGGTGGGAGAGAAATCTTGGGAATAATTAGGGTGGGAGAGAAATTTTGGGAATAATTAGGGTGGGAGAGAAATTTTGGGAATAATTAGGGTTGGAGAGAAATCTTGGGAATAATTAGGGTAGGAGAGAAATCTTGGGAATAATTAAGGGGGGAGAGAAATCTTGGGAATAATTAGGGTGGGAGAGAAATTTTGGGAATAATTAGGGTTGGAGAGAAATCTTGGGAATAATTAGGGTAGGAGAGAAATCTTGGGAATAATTAGGGTGGGAGAGAAATCTTGGGAATAATTAGGGTGGGAGAGAAATCTTGGGAATAATTAGGGTGGGAGAGAAATTTTGGGAATAATTAGGGTGGGAGAGAAATTTTGGGAATAATTAGGGTTGGAGAGAAATCTTGGGAATAATTAGGGTAGGAGAGAAATCTTGGGAATAATTAAGGGGGGAGAGAAATCTTGGGAATAATTAGGGTGGGAGAGAAATCTTGGGAATAATTAGGGTGGGAGAGAAATCTTGGGAATAATTAGGGTAGGAGCGAAATCTTGACAATGACCACGCTAAAAATTGTGCATTTTTTTATAGATAAAAAAAAAAGAATAGAAAAATAGAATCCATATGCTGACCGATCATGTGTAAGTGTTTGTCCCATTGTCTTTCTCAAATGGTGCATTGTGAAGAAAAACCATATGAATCTGCCATACAGTAATTATACTATTTATAGACATAAAAACCCATGAATGGATTGCCACTGAATTCCACATGACCCTAAGATGGTTCCTGTGATCCCAAATCCCTTTATTTAAAAAAAACAAAAAAATCTGTAATTTAAAAAAGAAAGCAATTTAGAGAGTATGCCAGGTAGTGGCCATATCAAAAACGTTTTAAAATAAATTATTTTTGGTGTAAGAATTTTAAAAATTGTTTATGCTCGAAGAACAGTGCATTATCAGACATTTATTATTAGGTCTCTGGTGGGATTTTAAAGAAACATTAAAAGAACATTTTTAACTATTGGTGAGCAGTAATGTTTTCTTTAATTATAAGAAAACATGTGTTGAAAACATGTTTTTAAAAATACACTTTAAGTTAATGGGAAAAATGTGGTGGGATATTAAATAAGCATATTTACATTCTTATGGCAAAAAAAAAGAGGGGGGGGGGGGGCTGTGTACCAAGGGGCTAAAGGACAACCATATGGGTGGCAATTTTATCAACGTTTATTCCCCGCTTTATAGAAGTAGCCCAACCATAATTTTAAACTGGGACCTATGGTTAAAACCGGGACCTAGAGTTGAAACCAAGTCCAGCCTTAAATGTTACAAATGAAAGGGAAGTAAACAGATTTTTGGTTTTTAAATTTAAATCAAGGAAATGCGTGTTTGTTTTTTAAATAAGTTCCCAAATATATGACAACTTTGTAGTTCATGGGATTGGAAAAAAAAAGTTTGGTACATTATATAGAATATACCGAATTCTCAAAACCCAATAATGCTACAAACAAAAGCATTTGTATATCAATACTTTAAAAAAATAAAAAAAAATAAGGGAATGTCCAATTTACCTTTTCCAAGATGTATATTTCAAGGTTGTGGGTCACACCCTGCCATATCTTCCCAGTAAGTAAAAGATAAGAAAAGAAAACTCATGACAAATTTATGGAAACTGCCCCATCTCATGTCAATACAAAGTGGTCAGCCATCCTCGTCCCCTTCCTATTCCCTATTAGGCCTTGCTGTGCTTGTAGGACTCGTTACCTTGTGGACATGCTGGTGGCTTGGTGCCCTGATGACAAATAAAGAAACATTTGGTTATTTAAATAAAAAAAAAAAACTGAATGGAAAAAAAAAATCATTAACACCATAATTCTCCATGAATGAAAGCCGGAATCAATAAATCTTTTTCAACTCTATGTATACATCACATAGTGAAAGACAAAGACAAAAAAAGTTTAGCAAAAAGGCTAACATGTGATTTACAAATACATAATGTTAATGTATTAAAACTTCTGATAAATGGTATGTCTCAACTGTTAATTTTAACTTTAAAATCAATGGTAGCTGCAATTACTGTTTATATAATGTGGCGATTCCTGTTAATTATAATAAGGCAATTACATTTACTCACACCCCTGAATTTGAGTGTGTTTCAGCATAAGAAAAATCTAGGGTGTCAAACACCATTTTGACTTAGTTGTGAACTCTCCCATTGTGACCCAGCATCATGTGAGATAAGGTCAAATGTGCGCCTGCACTATTTCCATTAAAAAGAAACAAACAACCCCGCTCCAATGGTTCTGTTAAGATTGTTAACATCAGAATAAATTAAATCTTATCACATTTAAGTACAGAGTTCAATTTCTCTTATAGTTATAGCTCTCCCATTTTAGTGCAGACTAATGATGGCTTCACAAGACAAATCTGAACCCTCAATTCTGGGTTGAGAGGCAGACAGTGTCATCATGGCACCATGGGGTTGTCCACCCAGTTCAGTAATAGAGGCAGTGTCATCATGGCACCACAGGGCAGTCGACACAGTTCAGTAATAGAGGCAGACAGTGTCATCATGGCACCACAGGGCAGTCGACACAGTTCAGTAATAGAGGCAGACAATGTCGTCATGGCACCCAGGGGGCAGTCGACAAGTTCAGTAATAGAGGCAGACAGTGTCATCATGGCACCACAGGGCAGTCGACACAGTTCAGCTATTTAAATGAATACAGTTACCTTGTATGTATCACAAACCAACTTGATCAGATTATATTGAGCTTCACTTTCTATTGCCGCACTGTAGACCTGGGGCAGAGAACAGCAACAAAGCCAATGAAATACAAGTGGGTAGATGATAACTTCAACTAAAAAATAACAAGAACCTTGAATACAAGACATCAGACAGTATGCAGCTTCCAACATTGGCACTTTTATAACACACATGTTATGGCAGTTGTGGCATGCACAGAAAAGTCTTATTAGGTGGCAGGGCAGGAGGAGGGTGAGGTGAATATCCATGATATAGACATTCCTGGTAGAATGAAGTTACTTATTATGATGACATGGCGTTGTGTAAGAAGTACCCAGGTTTGGGAGATAAATGAAAACTTGGTGACAAGAAATACAAAGATTAAATAAAATAGCTTTGTCACCAAATCCCACATATTTAATTTACCGATCTTGCAGAATGTTGATTGTTGCAGATTATTTATAGCCACCAAGAATAACGACCACTTAGGTAATTAGAATGTGAATGAAAAATGAATGCACTTTCATAAGTAAAACATAAATCACAAGTACTACGCACACACCAAAAAACAACCAGTGTGTGTACCCCGTTCAGTGTAATCCAAGGCACATAGCTGTGCTTAGGAACAAGTGCATCTGTCTCAAGTGCCATCTGATGTTCCAGGCTGTTACCCATGCTAGAATTGCTGCACTTCAGGATCTGATCCAGAGGAACCGGAAATTTTTTAGCACACTGAAATAAAAAAAAAAAAATGCAAATGGCATTCATTTAGTTTGTTGTTGATGAAGGTTCTCAGCATCTGTAATAAGGATGAAAGATTTCAAATGAACAATTTTGATTACATTTCAAAATTCTATCAAATTAATTTTTTTTATGCAGATTTTTTCTCTCTTAAGTTTGTGAAATTTTAATGAAAAAGTATTTACCTTATATTACCCTGTATAGAATGAGAAATTTAGAGTAAAATGCTCCTTAAAAACATGGCGATAGCGCAAAATTTTTGCTGGTAAACAATATACTAATTTCTATGCAAAATAAAATCTTCTTGGTCCACTCTCATTTAGCAACCGAGCACACATCCTATCTGGTCTCCGCATAAAACACCAGTAATTTCAGTAGTGTCCCTTTGATAGGATATTAGCATAGTTGTATTGGTATGACCACAATTTATTTAAAATTTATGATAATTTAAAGGATTTTCACATTTTTATTTTTTTTAAAATATTCATTTTTTTAATTCATATTTTATTATTAGAGGACAAGATTAACAGATTGCATTATACATGGACATGACATTTTAGGGTTTTTTACAACAAAAAGTGTGGGGGGGGGGGTTACGTTATATGTGTCAGTTATATTCAGTAATAAACAATTACTTTGAACATTATCTGTAAAGCACATAAATTGATAAAGGAACTTAGGCATTCAAAAATGGGATATAGTATATATAGGTGATTTCCGTGGAAAAGTCAATATCCCAAAATTAAATTGCATAGAATTTGATACTATATAAATTTAATTCATGCATCTTGGTATGGATTCATTTTTGGTATGTTTTTTGTTTTGTGTGACACATGACCTGGTGGCCATCTTGAATTAAGAAATAAATGTTTTCTAAATATTTTTAAAAAATGTTAAATTTTATATTTACATTTAATAAATAAATGTATACAATTTTCATGGTCATGGTCAATATCACATTATGGACAGGCTTTAAAACTCTGTGAATTAAGTTTATTTAGGTGCTACAGTGAATTTTTAATTTTTGTAACAATAATTACCGTCTTTTCTCCATTTTTTTATCGCTTGCATTCAGACAAGTTAAATCGGTAATAAAGTCATGTTATATCAGTTACATTATTTTGCCTGCATTGTTTTTAAAAAATGTGCTTTCGAGTAGTTTTTAAAGGTTTTTATTAGTAAAATAAGCGCTGGAGATCATTTGAAAAAATATATTTCAATTAAAGCAGCTTTCAGAGGAACTCAAAAAAAACGATGTTAACTTTTTTTTTGTTGCATCAGTTACAATTCCAAAATTTATTATTTTTACTTTATGCTTGATATATTCTTATAAATGCACAGTCGACCAAATCAAATAAAGTTAAATATAGGACATTTTGAGGCATTTTTCATTTCTTCTGGATTCAAATTGAAATTAATTTCATGAAATTTTAGTCAGTTTCCCAGAAATTCACCTATAATATGCACCATTGTCAGATTAAGGAAATCTTTTATTAACAAACTTACCGCTATAGCAGCATCTTCTGATCTGATGGATGAACTTTCCATGCAATTGATAAATGGGAAATATACAGAAATGTTCTGTACAATGGCAATAGCACATGTCTGTTGAAAGAAAGAAAGAACAAGCTAAGTCAAATGATGCTTTGAACAATGAATATGATTAATGCTAATAGCACACAAGTATTTTGAAATTTTCTGCTTCCCCTCTAGTTACAATTATTATTAAATACCTTTAGTTAATTTACGTCATCTCCAAATATACGCTTACCTCAATTATGTTCCCCACACACTCGTCATTGCCATGTTGGCATTGAAACTCCCAGTGGTCTTCCACTTGTTTTTCCTGTTGGAAAAAAAGATAATACAGCACAGTCTTTACCACCGTTGTCATTACAAAATATGAATGAAATCATTACCAGGTAGGGTTTCATCAGTAAACAAATTTGCCCAAGTTAAACTCGAATTTTCAATCTTTAGCTGTTTCTAAAAAGCAGTTTTGTAAAAATGAAAACCAGCAAAGGAAGCATTTTTTTTCCCCATTTAAAAATATATAAAAAAGTTAACTGGCTAGTTAACATGAAATTGTTTTTTTTAAAAAGCATTTTTTAAGGCTAAAAAGCAGTAAAAAACCATTGGTATTCTCAATAGGCTGTTTAAAACGTTTAACTTCTAAACGTTTGACTTCTAGACATAAAGGATATTTCCATACTCTTGCATTTCCATAAGGCACTAGTTTAACATTCATAATGCTTCCAACTTTCTGCCATGAGGGATACAACATGTTAATGATGAAATACATGCAACCAGCACAGTAGCGTTCATAGTAGAGGGTGATGTTGACAAGTTCTGGATTCCCCTTTAAAGACCACTCGTTGCTAGCGCATTGTTTGTATACCTAAAACAAAAACAAACAAAAAAACATCTCCATTAGAAGGGACATTACCATTAAATAAGCTTTTCCTTTTATCATTATTTCAAATGAAAGCTTCTGATAAAATTAAGCGACTAGAAGTGTAAGATAAACGTTAACATTGAAGACTTAAATAGCAATTCAAAATCAAATTTTGTTGCTTTGAAACATAAGGAGTAGGCCTACATATACTAAGAGCAAGTGATATTTCTGTTGAAGGTTCAACTCATTATGTCAAACACCAATTTTTAAAATTAATTAACAGGAATAAGAGCATGGCGATTCACTACTCTGCATGTCAATTGAAACACTAAAAAAATAAAAGACGATATAAATATTTATGAAAAGTTTAAAAAAACTAAATCAAACCTGCAGTGTAAATGTTTTAGGCCTAAATGTAATATGTATTTATAAATATAATTTATAAATATATATATATACCAGTATATATATTAAAAAAAAAAATTTTTTTCATGTTGTGTTACATATGAAGCTTATTGTAAATTTTAAAGAGTAGCTATTGCAACAATTTTTTCAGAGCAATGTATTCTGTAGTATTAATTGTCGAGACGAGAATTTATCACAAATAAAATGATAATAATTGTTAGACTACCTGTATAGGAAGTTTGCCATGGCGATAATTAACAACAATTTTAAGTTTAAGTTTGACTTGCACTTTGACTGGACTGGAAAGGGGCCATCCATAAGTCACCTACGCACTCAAGAGGGAGCGGTTTGTTGATTTAGGAGAATTTGCATATATGTGTGTATAGGAGTGGGGGGGGGGAAAGTCTCGGCAGAATGTGTACATACATCACAATTCTGCAATAAGTTACCCTGAAATTCCTAATTTGTTTAAAAGGCTATATAAAATATCACAGCAAAGTTTTGCAATTAATATTTTAATATCATTCTACAAATAATATTGCTTTGTGGGACATTAATATTTAACCTAGAGACTACTTAAGCCCATACGGTGGTTTCAAGTGGGTTATGTAATTCTTGTCATTATTCATTATTATTTGATAGGGCTGAACCAAAGATGTCAATTAATAAAGAGGTAGTGTAGGTGCTTCAAAACTCACCACACCAAGCAGAGAGTAGTTCAAAATGGGAGAAAACAGTGACATAATTTTAAACAGGTTTACGGTGACCCATTTAAATGTCTAGATTTACATTAGAAATAAATGTCTATACATTTTTTTTACAGGGGGGAGGGGGGGGGGAAGAGAAGGATCATTTGTACAATGTATGCGTGCAGCTGGGGCGGGGGGTTGTTATGATTTCTTTTGCATATGTAAGATTATATATGCCTAAACGTATGGATGGGCCCTAAGAGATATCAGAAGAATCATTTTTATTTAATTTTATAATACAGCCATAATATATATTTTTAAAATAATTGTTAGTTAGCATAACCCTTGGGGCATGTCTTTCAATTTTTTGTTGGTGTTAATATTTCTGATGTGAGGATGACCAAGGATGTATTCAACGAGTATGCAGGTGGCAATTCTGTGTTTCCTTGCTGTAAACATTCTTTGGGCTTGAGGGGCAAGTTTACTCTTTGAAGAATGTGCTCCAACAGAGACTGCCCTGCCAGATTGTGCTATCAAGTGTTTACCATGAGTTCAGTTTGATGTCCATCAATTTGAAGGACAATTTAGGCAATATTATTTTCTGCCTGCCAATTGAGCATTTCTCTGTGCATAGTTCACCATACATTAGCTGTTTAGGCACTCTTGTTGTCTAGCATTCTCACAACATATGTAACAATATGTGAATGCTAAGAAAGCCAGCCTGTTGTAGGACCTGTATCAGGGACATTTTCCTGCCATTTAATACTTATATTAATCCTCTTGAGATGGAGGTTTTTTGGGCTTTTGGTACCCTTTCACAAGCCTTGCACTTATTTTGCGAAAAAAAATAAAAATAAAATAAAGTTAGTACTTTAAAAATATAAAACTATATATTCTTGTACTTTTTTTTTTACTCTTAGTGTAGAATAAACAAGTGTTGCTCCCAGAATTTTGGTGAATTTCTGCCTTAATAAGAACTAACAAAGATTTGAGAAAAACTTCATAAAATACTCCACTGGGGGTGCTTTTGTTGAGTGGCATATGTCTAGGATTTTATATGCATTGATAAGGGTCACTTGGTATTTTTAAAAATTATTATAAAATGAAAATCAAACGGAAACTGCCCATTTAAATGGCAAGATGAGCAAGAAATGCAAGAAGCAATATGATTAGCTGTAAAGAACATCAGCAAGCTAATCTCGATGCTGGTATTGTATTTGCCTGATGGATCACCATTTTAATCTATTTTTTCTATTCATCTCAGCCAAATCGAGTCACAAAATGTGGAGGTCCGGTCCATTATCTTACGTTGCAGTATTGCTATTAAACAGGCCTCTGTGGAAGCTGAGGTAACTGAATAAATCACTTGGGGCCCCCTGCCCGAATTTTATTTTTTGGGAGCCTAACATGTGGATTTGCTTGGGTCCCAACAATCCTATGCATGGCCCTGATAATAACACTAATATTAATAATTATATTTTAAATTCTTTAAATTTATTAAAAGAAGAAAGGAACAAAGTTTACGAAGGAACTTTGACTTTGGAAATTCATACCTCAAAAAATTACTTTACTAAACGTGTTTATTCTTAGTCTTTCCTCTTCTTAGTGATAGTGACTTAGTGAGTGTAAGTGTAAGTAGTAAGTGACAAGAGTAAACTTAAACTTTATAACTTAGGTCTAAATTTACAAAATTGAATTTGCTTACGTTTTTTATTTATGAAGTGGATGCGTACACCGATCGGCTTTGGCCTGCTTAAACTGCAGCGGTGTACCTAGTGAAATCGTGGGCTTTGACCTGGGTACACCGAGGCAAAAATGTACCATTGGCCTGGTTTTAAGATATGCCTGTTAGAGAAGATCTTGTGTGGTCAAGTGGTAGAGTGGACGCTTGGCGATATTATATTTTGAGATCAATTCCCAGTAGGGGATCATGTTTTTTTTTCTTCCCCTTTTAATTAAAAATATTTTATATTTAAATTATCATGTTCATTTACAACAGTAGTTTCATGAGAAGTTTTTAAATATTTTGTAGCAATTTAAACAAATTAAAAATATGTTATATTCAGATTATGAAGTGTTTCAACAAGTTGTGCTGGCCTTCGACTTTGAAAATACCGGTAATATTAGTAATAAGACATTAGAAAACAAACTGAAAGTTTCTAAAAGTCCATGTATAGTGTATGTAACATGTATAAGAAAAACATTTTGAATACTAAGTGATACTTTATTGTATTTCAACATTATTCGTGTAGTTAAATATTTACATTTTACTTTTACAAACACCCAAAGAAAATACCAGTATATCAATAGCACCATATGAATATTAATGTGCATGGTCGTATTTCAACCATCTTGCTTTCACTATGCATTGGCAAAATTTACACTCGATATCAACGGTCCATTCACAACCCTCAGTCTCACAGCAAATCTTTTAAAAACACCACGATTTTAGAAACTTACGGCGCGGTAGCAAACTGTATAGCAAAGCCATCGGTCTGCGTTTACCCTGTTCATGATGGAATTTGTTTCCAGAATGGCATGGCATGTGCTATTCTCAGGGTAAAACATGATGTTTTCTCACAGAAACCCTTGCACAAAGCGCTTGGGACATGATTTGCGATATTTCAAAAAAAATTGTATTTATTGTTTTTTGTTAAGAAATCGATCCTGAGGTGAGTTATGGGCAGAGGCTTAACAAAAAAGGGGGCCTACACAAATCACAGCTCTGGATAGGGGCTGTCCACAAAGGACATCCGCACAACAAATTTACCTACTTACTTTTGCATCCCCCCCTCCAACCCGGAGAGGGGGTGCTGATGGCCGCCGGCATTTATTACTAATGTGTAATGCCAATGTAAAACTAATTCAATGATATTTAATTATTGTTAAAAGACTTTTAAAAATCACTGCAGTGTTTCGTATAGATCATCATACTGTTGTTTTATGTTAACAATCGCTTGATATCACAATGACCATTCCTCAGACAACTTTAACTTCACACCTTCATGCTCGATGTATGTGATTATCTTCCCGTAATGTAATTGTGGCGTAATTATATCTTGGTGCTAACAAAATAGATACACAGGCTTCCCATTCATTTTTACACCACGCCCTGAGGGATCACATACAATGTTATAATTATAATGCCCCCCCCCCCCCAAAAAAAAAAAAAA